TTTTTTTTTTTTTTGGTTTTTCGAGACAGGGTTTCTCTGAGTAGCCCTGGCTGTCCTGGAACTCACTCTGTAGACCAGGCTAGCCTCGAACTCTCGAACTCAGAAATCCGCCTGCCTCTGCCTCCCAAGTGCTGGGATTAAAGGTGTGCGCCACCACCGCCCGGCTTCAACGTAAAGACTCTTAAGACTGAAGTCTTGGAACACGAAGAGAATCAATCTTAAACTCAGCTTAAGCAGAACTACTGAATCCAGTACCATGGAGCAAAATAAACTTAAACTATACTTAAATTTTCAGTTCCTCAGCTTTACAAGCCACATTCTAAGTAGCAACAGCCGTAAGTGGCTGGCTATTAACTCCTCACTAGATAGCACAGAACACTGCATCATCCAGGAAGAACTAGTGCCTATGGCACCCTGGAATATGTTACAGTTCAGATGGCCAGAAACAATTTTACTTGTATCATCTAACAGTAAAGGATATCCTTGACTGGAGCTCAGTGGGTGAGGAGTCCATGATGCTCACGCAGAGGATCAGAGTTCAGTGCCCAGTACCCACATCAGGTGCCTCACAACCACCTCTAACTCCAATTTCCAGGGGAAACAATGCCCACTGACCTTTGCAGGAACAAGGCACACATACATCTACTCAGGAGCACTCGGAGACATAAAATAAAAACAAAGACTATCCTAGACAGCAAAAATCCTCACTGTTATTAGAAACGTAAGAAAAAATAATTGAAAGTGACCGTTTTCAGATACTAGTCATAAAGAATTCTAAACTACGATGCTCAGGCAAAACCTAATGCCCCCCCCCAGGATGGAGGCATAGCCTAGGGAACAGAGACAATTCCAAGCACAGCACAGCAATCACCCTTGACTCAGTTACCCTGCACAAGTTTGAAGTCAGATGTCAGTCATCTATCTCTTTAATGTTCACTCCAGTAAGAAGAATACAACAGCAACTCAAGTTGAAACCAAGTTCAGTCAACACTCAAACTAGTAAGATTTAGTCGGTCAGCAGCTATGCAACGTTAACTAGTTAAGTATGCAACTACCTTATCAACACAATCCCTTACTTAGGCCAATACTGGTTTGGGGTATATACCCTGTCAAAGGAAATCAGGTGATCAAGACACTGACCACCAGACTGGATAAGCCGAATGACCCACTCACTGGTATACAAAATATAAGGTCAAGAGAGTCTGTAGTTTATAAAGGCATCTGCACAGCATGGCCCACTCTGCAGAGAGTAAACTGTACCAATTAATTTAGATAAGGAATGACTGGAGACAGG